TGAGAGTGAAAAGTACTTTGATTGATAAGTAGATGAACTACCTGTCTTTCTACTCTGCGAAGTAGCTGTGTTGTCCTGTCTTATTTCCGGTCTTTCCTGTTAGTATAACCTCTTGTATATATATTCTCACAGGATTCCCTCCCCATCGACGTGACATCATCTCAACATTTATGTATATATAAATAGCGTAAACATTCATTATGGTGTGTGTGACGTTCTTCTAATTAACGTGGAAGGACTGTTGACTGTGATTGACTTCAAAGTGTGCCTTGGTGTCAGCTTGTTGTAATAGTGTGAGACTAAGAACTCAGGAACTAATGAACTGTGTGAGAAAAAAATGTCCAGCTTTGGTAACTCGTGTATATATGTTAAATAAGTGAAGTACTGTACACTAATTTAGGTCATCATCGCATACAACTTTGTTTTATTGTTTTACTGTATTTGTCATAGTTCATGTATCATTATCAAAAGTGTATTATATATTACAGGTTGACTTTACTTTGATTCAATATTTCTTGGTTCAGTTCTGTTATCACAGCCAGTTTTATTTACTTTTTACATGTATGCTTTCCTTGGTTTAGCTTCAATGCGTGTACCTCAGTAAGCCATCATATAAATACACACACACACACACAATACACACACACACACACAATACACACACACAAAACACACACACACACAATACACACACACAACACACACACACACACGCGCGTGGTGTGGTGTGTATGTATGTATGTGTGTATGTATGTATGTATGTATGTATGCATGTGTGTGTGTGTGTGTGTGTGTGTGTCACAAATTTGTTTTGCACATTCCAGCCCAATTACTTACATCCAGGTGAACAAATGGGACGCGTGGACCTTTTGAGGTTCACGAAAGGATTTTCAAGGTGCACGCAACTTGCCCGTAGTATTTACTTACTTTTTCTCTCATATCATTTGAATACTGATTTTCAATATTCGATAATGTTATTAATATCGTATATTTTCACTCAGCCACCCAACTTTGCAATTACATCCCCCTATCCGATTGCCGGGGGGCTTTTGGGCGCGCTGTATCAGTAGCAACCTATTTCTTCATTTCTGTTGTTTTTCATGTATCAGAGTATATTTTTTTCCCATTCTCCATGATAGCGTCATTCCATTTTCATCAGAGTATCAAGTGTTGCACAGATTCATTTTCGTTCATTCTTTTCAATGCAGTCACTGTTTGCCTTGTACCACAAGGCTACGTGAAATTGAAACTATATCTTCATATCTTTCTAAATCTAAACAGATATATAATATAAGATTACAAGGGGTTCCCAGTTGGCGATGCAGTTTCAATTGCTCCGTGAACGAACAAAATTTTGAAATCATTGCTCTAGGCTATATACCTTTCACATTTCCAGCTACATGAGCAAATGTTTCAGGAAAACGCGGACACACATCACTGCCTTCTTCCATTTTGTGTGACCGTTTTCCCTTTGTTTTTCATCTTAACAGGTATATTCACTTATGGCTGTGACACCCTTCCTGAAGCACTGCATGATGATACACTTTTCCTTCTAACATAAAAATAATGTTTTCTTACAATACAGGTGCTAAGTAAAGTTCCCTTTCCATAAGAGTATTTTACACTTCAACCGTGGATCACCAATGCAGCAAAGGCCAAACATAACGTTCTGCTGGACGTGTTATAGTTGACTGGTGTTTACTGAAGATGCAGATTTTGTCTTTAATGATATGGATGAGTAAATTTAGAAATGATCAGTTTGTGTTATTCTTATATATCTAGTAAAAAATGGTGTCTTACTGAGGTTCTGTGTATGATATGCAGTAAATGTTTTACATAATCGGGCTGCAATTACCTTTTATAAATGTTTACATCATAACCTATTATATAGAACTGACATACGATTCCCAGAAGTGATCTGAGGAATGAAAAAGTAATAATCATTGTATTTATGTACATTACTCTCATCCTAACCAATCTCTCATGTGTGGCTGATATTTGGCCAAGGGTCGCCTTTCATGTTTTAGTGAAAATGCTGAGCTGTACATATTTTGTCTTTTTCATTTAAAAGAAAAGAAAATAGGTCACCCTTCATTATATTCTAAGTTTCTGGTTTTAATTTACACAGTCAACTGACTAATACAGTTTCATGTACTGTATTTAGGGCATTTTCACTTGCGCTGAAAGTAAAGGTTTCACCGTGTGGTCAGACTGATTCATCTTATTATATGCTGTAAATACAAATTTTAGAATATATTTAAGTAAACTTACGGTAGTTCTTTAATTAATCCTTTCTATTATTTTGGGCATTAAATTCTCCATTGAAATTTTATTAGCATATCCATAGTATTTGTAGCCCTATCCAGTTGAATATTCAATCTTGTATTAGCTTAAAATAGCTCATCTATATTATTCTTTGAGTATTTTTCCCAGTGCTCTTTAATCTATCTCTTGATTTTTTATGCCAGGACACACCATTTCGCGTTGGTTAATAATCCATTCTGCAGTAACCTCCACTACTGCATACACCATAAAAATGTTAAATGCAGTATTGCTAGATATTTCCGTTTGTACGCAAGCTACATGAGTTTTTTGTTTTGTTTTAATGGGACTGGAGGATGGATGTGGTTTAGGCATTTTATCTTGGGTTTTGAATGTCCTCGAGAGTTTCTAAAGCTGAGCTGGTTAGCGAGGTCTGAGAAACAAAAGTTTTCTTATGAAGGGGGGAAGAGGGGACAGATGCACGAAGAGCAGAGGAACTGGCTGACGTAGAAGTGGATGCGGTAGAAGACGGTCTGGATCGTTTTGCTTCGTTTTATGCAAGGAGTCGAACGAGGGGGGTAGGTACCGAGGAAGTAGGGATTGGAGTGTCTGGATTTAGAATAATGATAGAGACGAAGTGTCCAGATTCAGAATGGCAAATAACTTTGACTGGGAGAGGGAGAAAGAGGGAGAAGTGGGATGAGTAAGAGATGCTAAAGGGATGTAGACACATCTTGAGGGAAGGGGGAGGGACGGAGCGAAGGACAGCACTGGGGTAAGGAGTCAGAAAAGCCTCATTGGTGTGCTTCCTGTTTCGTTTGAATTTCAGAATAGTCATGCGACTCAAAATACATATGGGAGCCGCCGCAATTAGCACATGTGCGTGACTGCTGAGCAGTTCGAGCAATCATGACCAGGTTGGGCGCTTAGAGGGCATAGAGCTGTGAAGCGGCAGCGTTTGGCTGGGTGGCCTTGTAAACAATTCTGACATTAATGGAGGGGAGACTGATATGGTCGGACGGGGGTGGGGGGCTCCGATAATAAAATCATCATCATGTCTATAGAAGTTAATGTTAGAGAGACTGGTGGAGGATTTACGGCAGCCTTTAGGGATATTACAGCAGTAACAATGAGACAGGTAAGTAAGTCTTCTTTACAGTCTGACCAATCCTAGGAGTAGACAGGACAGTCTGCTTTTGATACCATTCCGGTTCAAGTATTATGAATAAGCTATATAAAGGGCCACACTAAAACAAATAAAAAATTATACAACCAAAGGCATCAGTACAGGTTAAGAAGCAGCTAAGAAAGAATGAGCTGAGAAAATCATCAGCTGTTTACGAAGCAAATCCTTTGAACTAGTCTTTTATACTTATCAAGAGTTAGAGAAGTGACAATCTCTGATGTCAATCTATTCCAAAGCTTACAAATATCAGCAAAAAAAGCTATCTAGAAAACAGATGTAGACATTCGACTTGCATCAGACGTCATGGAATCGAGGGCCATAGAACTTATAGTAACTCTTGCAGGTTCATAAAAATCGAGAAAAAAATTAAGAGATTAAACAGTACTTGGGAAAGAGGGAGAGGGGAGGGGGTTAGGGAGAGGGGGAGGGGGTTAGGGAGAGGGGGTTAGGGAGAGGGGAGGGGGTTAGGGAGAGGGAGAGGGGGTTAGGGAGAGGGGGAGGGGGTTAGGGAGAGGGAGGGGTTAGGGAGAGGGGGGGAGGGGGTTAGGGAGAGGGGGAGGGGGTAGGAGAGGGGAGAGGGGGGAGGGGGTTAGGGAGAGGGAGAGGGGGGAAGGGTTAGGGGAGGGGGGGGGTAAGGGGTAGGACACAGCCTTGCGGAAGATGTAGCGGTGTTGAGTAAAGTAGTACTGCAGAGAGATGGTTAATAAGATTGCCGAGTAATAATAAGGGGTTGGGAGGTAGAAGATGAAGTAGAGGATGTTGGGAGAGCAGTGGTTGTTTCCTGGAGGTTGAGTAATGACCTGGGTGGATGATTTGGACTGGACCGAGGTGTTCAGTCATGGTAATAAAAAAGCCTGGGTTTAGGGAATCGGGAGGATGGAAATCAATGGGGCTACTTGATAAAGGGGCTAGCCTCATTGTACCTAATTGGGGTACATTACTACTTATTGAACAGCTTTGTATTATCCTAATAACTGCATATGCAGATAGGTAATTCTCTCAAATTGTCCTTTCACAAATTTTATACCTTTGGATTGTATAAAAGGTTATTCAAATATTTTGTGGGCTTCTAAACTGTTTCTCGTCATTTAGAATTCCCTATGGAGTAAACCACTTTGCCCGTGATTTGAGGGGGGGAGCACATAATATAAACCTGGAGGATCTCCATGCAGATGGTTTTGCTTTAATATTCAGCTTCTATACAGTACTTGTGAGACTGTTTATACAACATAAAAGTGATCTTAATATCCCCTCTTATGTTCAGGGAATAAGGAAATATTTCTGGGGTTGACTGCCAATAGTAACTTTTGCCATGGATGGCTCTTACTAAACAGTAAATTGTTTTACTCATTGTACTATCCAAAATGAGCATTAAGAATAAAAGCTTGTCCACACAAGCAGGCATAATAGGTGGGCACATGGGGCAGGAGTAGAGACATCATGGGTGGGCAAACTACTTGGCAAACAAGTAGTTTCCACATTTTCTTGCCTATGACATGGAAAGGCCTTAATTTGGGGGAAGTTTAAAAAGATAAAGGGATGGAAAAAAAAGTTTTGTGGAGAATCTTTCTTAATTTCCATAAAAAAATTAACATACATTTATATTTCCAACACACATACAGATACAACAAGTTCCTCACACTGTAAAAATGTACACCTTCAGGGTCATTCACACTTAAATTATTTTTGTCCACAGCACAATTCCCATTATTTTAACCAAAAGCACTTAATTTCCTGGTAATTTTTCATTACAGGTACACTTATTCATTTGAATATAAACTATATTCACAAAACAAAAAAATTCACTTGCATTTAAATAAACTTTATGTTGGTCTTGACTGCTGTGTCCAGTCACCTTCAAATCTGATGTAGGTCTTTGAAGTTCACTTGCTCCTAAGAGGCACTTGAGTCACAAAAGTGTCTTCGTCAGATGAAAAAAAAAAAAAAAATCTTCCAGTACTTCCTAAAAGTACAATTGCCTATTGGTCTTGAGTTGAGCACCTAGTCAGACTTCTTGCCCTTCTTGGCGCGTGTGACGGGAGTGTACTTGGAGTTGATGTTGTACCACATTACGAAGGGCACCAGGAGGGCTGGGATCATCAGGAGGGCAAAGATGAACCAGTCGAACTGTTGGCAGAATGGGAAGGAGGGGGTTGGTAAGGCATCAACACACAACTTGTTAAAAAGGGATCTCGCAACCAATTAGAAAGCCTTAAATAAATTATTCTAAAAATGTATGGTAAAAGTAGGTTTCCCATCTACAAGTAAAATATTTTTCCCTTTAGGAATCCCTTTAAAGAATCACACATTTTATTAAAGAAAATTCCAATTCCATCACACATCTTAGGTTGCAAAAAGGGAAGAAAAAAAAAGTTATCCATGAGAATTTCCCTACAGAAATTGCTAGTATGGATATCCCAAGCAGGAAGAACTGCACAGATTTTCAAAAAGAATTATAAAAAGAAATCTTAATATTCCACTAATTTTGACTGTTTTAAATTGTATCAACCCCTTCGATCCAGGTGATGCGACAATCTTATTGTAATTCTGGCTGAGGGCCAGGGCAACAGGAATATCGTGAAATTTTCCACCGAGGGCCCAGGTGACAGGCATGACTCATCATAATTGTGAAAAATTAGACTTAGTGGGCATTTGAGAAGGGACGTTTGCATAATTTCTCCTGGTAAATGAAATGGAATGCATCATCTGCAAGCCGTGACTGGAAGAACTCCAAACTCCAGGGAGGCCACTCTGGATCTTATTCCTGCCCATCATGACAGGCAGTGCAGGGTGTGTTACAAAAAAGTTGTAGGCTACCTAGAGTGATGGTATGGAGTCTGTGCAAGGAAAAAATTTATAGTCATCTTGATAGAAATTCAAGTGACAAGCCCTTATAAGATGGCAAAATGGCAAAAAATGCTTTTACAGAAAGATATAATAGTATTGCGATGGGGAGGGCAAGGCAACGAGTCCTTATATCACAACTGGTCATTTGGGTTTGGCCTACTAGATACGCTCCCGGAAGACTTGCCACTCAAAGCCTAATGTCTTTATTTTGGTACAAGTGCAGGCCGCATTGCATCTGGATCAAAGAGGTTAACTGCATGAATCCTTCACAACTGATGCACTATTCTTACATCAATGGAAAACTTCCTAAATTCACATGCCAACAAATCATAATACAGAATATATTTCTTTAAAATATATTTCTAGTCTTCTAGCAAAGCATTACTTTTAGCTAGCAAATTTAATAACAGACCAGACATTACAACTCATTTCCTACAAATTCTAAGCAGTATACAACATCATACTTACCACATGAGGAGAGAACTTCCTGTCATAGTCTCTGAAGGCAATGATGCCTCCCTCACCAGGTTCAGAGGTGTAGCCAATCTGGATCTGTCGGAGCAAGGGAAAAATGTCACAATGGTTTACAAGTAAATTTTAAAGAAATGGAAAATGAAGTTTATTTTAAAGCCAAATACTTGTCATGTAAGTGATAACACTATGCCTTACTCATCTTCCAAAATACATTTCCTATTACAGCTTGTGACATCATGCCTATATACAAGACTAAAAAGTATGAATTTTACTAATGTTACTTGTTCACTTTTAAAGTTTAGCATGCCTTTTTATAAACATTTTTCTTATAAAAAAACAAATCAGTAATCTACATTTCCACACCACATCCTGATTGAATGCTTGTTCTGCAATTGCATCAAATATTTGGTTTAAAAGCAAGTTTAAAGCATGCATGAAGTACCAATACTACTAACATCCCACCCACTTGTTCAAATCCACATTTATGGGATATAAAATCAGAACAGAAAAACATGATGCTACTCATTTGTCTATACATTACACGCAAGTTAAAAAATAACTAACGACGGGGTTGAAGCTAGCTAGACAAAAGGCAAACATATGTGACAGACAAAATCAAGTCTGAATGAGGATTTGGCACCCCAATAATAGGGATTACATACAGAGTACTGTGTACAACCTAAAATTCAAACAAAATAACTTTAAAATAATAATTCCTTACCTCTGCAGAATCTTCCGTGGGCTGGTAAGAAATCTCAGCAGCAGTGAAATTGAAGTAACCATACTTCTTGGGCTGAACAACAACAGTGTGAGACACATTGGCGTTTGGAGCAATACGGTCAAACTTCACTTGCAGCTGGCCACCAGCAATGTCAAAGTCTTCAGAGCTGTAAAATAATTAGATTGAATATCATCAATGGTGAGGAAGAGCCATTTCAAATTCAATGCACACCATCCAGATAATGTACTTTTACATAAAGATCAACAAATTACCTGAAGCCTGCATCAGTGAGCTGGACGTTGATAGCTGCAGCCTGCCCAACGTTGTGTACAGAATACTGCACAACAATATCTCGGCCTTCAACAAGGTACAGGTTGTGTACCCTCTTGGCCGCCAGCAGTCTTGCTCTCTCCTCGCCTTCACCTTCAGAGAAGACGCACCCCACAAGGGCCAAGGCTAATAAACAGTAACGAAGCACTGAAAGAAGAAAATACTTCTTTAGTCATCTTTCAACAATGTGACAAATTTTGATTTCTCTCTTCTGATGCATTCACCTTAACAGATTTAAAGGGAAATGTAGAAGATGAGAATGGATTAGAATGAATAGGTCCATAATGCATAATCAACACGAACTGCATCTTATATATCAAGTATGTTAAGCACCCAAAGTACATAAAACTTCAGAGTTATGTGCAGTAACCATACACTTTTGAATATTTTACTTAAAGCAGAAAAATATTTAGTAGAATTTGCCGTGTTTTGCTATGTGCCACACAGTTTTACATTAGTTTCTTAGTAACAAAAAACTAAAATTTACCAATGTCTCTAATAGGGATCTTTACAGAAGTATCTCAGTGGATCCTAGATTCATAAATCTGGGTTTTCTATCACCCTTTTCTGTGATAAGAAAAGAAGGGACCAATATAGTTTCAAGTTTCATGTCAGCTTCTAAAAAAACTGAGTATTAAAATCTAGGTGAAATTTAAAAGAATCAATCCATAAAACATTAGCCAACAAATGATGAAATATGTCACATTTGTAAATTGCACAATTCTTAAATCCTAAATATGGCTTCAAATAAGGGTATTGGGTATTCATCCTCCTAATGGCCTTTACTCATCGAAATAAACAGTTTCACGGTTTGAAGTCATGATCACTGACTTCATATGATACATTTCTTTGTCCAGTTATGGTCACAATAAATGCTTGCTATGATTCTATTGGTATAAAAAATATACATTAAAGAGACTTTCAGGCAAAACTTCCCCAACTGAGTTAGTCAATACGACAGTTATCAGCAACCTTAACATTACTCTAACGAATCTTGTATTTAACCCACTTGCAACAGTATATTTATAAGCCGAAAATAATATTTTTCTGGTGGTTTCAAAACCAGTGAACGGGCAAGTCCGGCAACCTGCCCGCGCGCTGCCCACCGAGGGCAACAAAATCAGAGCGCGAGCTCTGATCTGGTGTCGCACCAGTGGAACACCCAGTAATGTTTGCTTTTCCGGGCGTCTCATATGTAGGACACCCATCATAAGTGGGTTAAAAGTCAGGGAAATTTACATTCAAAATGTTTGGTACCAATGTCAGTTAATTCTCCAGCATGTGGTGTGAGCCTTTGATTACATTACGCGGAAACTGAAAGAAGGGTAAAATTTAACCCACTTGGGAAAAGCCAAGTCTTACAAATCTATTAATGATGCAGCTAGTTTCTGCAAAGGTCCTGACCTTAAGGTGTATAGAACTATGAACCAGACAGAAAATTGGTAGAGGTAAAACTGTAGAGATTGAAAAGCCTATACTCAGAAAATAGTTATAATACTGGTCTATTCATTGAGGGACAGTGGGTCTTTAGTGTTATTTTTCCAAAACACACACTCCTCTAATGTAATGCAGACATTGTCTTTTGGAGCTCTGACAGTGTGACTATGTTGAAGTATTAAAAACAATGTAGCCATCACTGCATACAATCTCATATTGTAAAAATATTTTTTTTCTTTCAATAAAAGCACATTCAATCTTCTACACTGTAAAACAACCTTATTTACCAGAATGGACCTAAATGTACATAATTTGGCTATTACAGGTTCAATCTAGCACTAAAATGCATTATCATGCATCTCTGAATATGCAAATATAGTAAATATAAAATGGTTTCGCACCACTTTGTAGGCCCAAACTACACAGAAGTGTGAAAGTGAAAACCATATTCTCCTAGAAGCTTCAATGAGCTAGTAACTCTTGCTCACACAAACACCCACTACAAGTAAATGGAAACAAAGTCCAAATCTCTTTATCAAGGAAGTACCATTTCATCAGCTACTTGACTCCAGTAATGTTTCACAAATGCCACTCTAAGAAAGCACCAAGTGCGACACACAGTCAACAGCACTAATGAAAAACCAGAAGCACAGGAACTTATAAACCACACTACCCTTTATACTAAAACACGTTAGTGTTCTTTCAGGCGGTTTTGTATAAACTTGTCCCCCTGTTCTATCTTACTATGAATACCAAGTTGGGTGTAGAGAGTCAGGTACCTCTATCAACCCTTCTCTGTTCCTCTTTACTGTATGTACACACTAAAGTAGGGCAAACAGATGATATTCTTGTAGCGGACTAAAAGTTGTGGTCATTTATACTAAAAATCTGCAGACATGAACGGTAACACCATAAAGAAAAAAGATCACAAAGTGTCGTAGAGGGGGAACAGAGTCCAGTCACGACAACTGAATAAATTGTGAGATTCCATCATTTAGTGACACAAGCAAATGATCTGATTTCAGAACACCTGTTTATACACAGACGACCCAAGTCAATTTCGCTGTTGACAGAGATGGTCATCTCAGTAAGTAACAAATACCAAAAACAAACAAAGAAAAAAGTAAAAAGACAGTTAAGTAAAGAGTCTGCAGAACTTATCCCCACAGCCATTTATGTGCATACTTCTGAGGGAACAAAGTTAACGACACATGGGGCCAAATAATATCTATGTACAGGGAAAAGGAGAAGAAATTCTTCTATAACTACAACCAGAGTGGCAGGAGAAATCCTTGAAATAAACAGAGCTTATGGCAAAGGACGCTGTACTAACCTTTTTGTGTTCTATGTCCCGAGGGAAATCGACACCAATGAGATAAAAGAAACCAATGAAAATGTTCTACATGCTATAAAACTTAATAATAGGATGAGAGAGTGATTAATCATCACATATGAAGGAGAGAAAATCCCCAAAGCCACCAAAATTTGTTGTTGATATGGCACCTTTTAGGTGTGCTGTCTTCAAATCACTCACCACATTTTGCACCCAGCTGTTCAAGACGAGGACACAGGGCATGTGCGTGTCCCTACGAGACACCACATTGGTGATACTACATGGCCGCTCACATGAGCGGGGAGTGCACCGAAAAAAATCGCACAGGGTAATCAACTCCCTAGAAAATGTGTCAATTGCAGACTTGACCATAATGCAAACTCTCCATTATGTGCATACTATCTGAACAATAGAAAAAACATAGCTAAAGTAGCAACAGGCTCTTCTGCCCTCTCACAACCCCATCCCATTTCCTCGGCTTGACAATGAGGCAGAATTACCCCAGCTTGGGAGGATAAATGTAGTGAAGTGTGGTGAACGAAAACAATTGGTCTCTCCAGTTTTACTATCAGCATCAGCTCCTGCGTCAGCTTCAAGGTCTGCTTTAGCCCCTTCAGTGCCAGTTTCAGCTCCTGCTACTTCAGCATCAACTTTGGAACCTGCTTCGACATCTAATATACATTTTAGCACATACAACAGTTCCGACTTCTGCTAATGCTTTAGTGCCAACCCCTATACCACAGGAAAGACAGGATCTACTGCAAATGTTGATACAGAAGATAGAACAAATAATGCTTATGATACAACAATTTGCTTAGCAACTACAATTCCTGGAAAAAATGCTTTGGACAATGATTTACCCCTCTACAACCTGTAGCAGAACTTGAAAATAATCAACTGACAACTGATGGCCCACAGTGACAGTGTACCACAATGGAACATTAAGATTTAAGGAAACTTTCAGGCATGTATATTTAATGTTTGACCTTGGCCCTTTAGTAAATACAAGTTCAGCCAGATTGGGTAGACACTTGGATACATTTCCCTGGCTTTTTACAGGGCATGTAAGCTACTCTATAAATATTTTTTTTCAAATCAATCAAATCAAATTAGCAGTGAATTTGAGGCTCCTGTAGCTTTATCTGTGTTTATGACTTTCATACATTCTATGAGATAGTGGTATCCACTTATCTCTGTGCATTGCTCTCTAACTTATACCAATCACAGGAAAAGGACGCTCATAGCACAAGTCCACACAGAGCACCCAAGATTCAGCTCTATCTTGTAGAGAAAGTTTGCCAGTGAAGCTTAGTCTCTGGCAAGTGCTTTAGTATTGTAAAGAATTAATGCATAGAAATATGCATATACATGTATATATACAGAGAGAGAGAGAGGAGATCTGAACATCTGCCCCTGGCCTGCCACTGGACAGAACAGTAGTTACTCTTCAATTGAAGAACCAAATCTTTTTTCCCCGGGATATATTTAGACAATTTGATCTTCTTCTACAGTGTGCACAGAAGAGACAGCAATCACTTGACACTGCGACATGGCAGGGACTTTTAGATGGTAGACCTAGCATCAAAGATAAAAAAGAAGTGTCAAAGGGATAGAAGCCTGTATACCAATAAAATTGAAGCTTTTTAATAGTAACCGTATCTGTCTAAAGCCATTACCTTCCCCATCATCATTCCCCGTGTGGTTGGTAAACTTTCACAGTCTGGGGTCTTGCCTGACACACACTTTCACTTTTTGTACACATGTAGTCCAAAAAAAATTTTTTCTCAAAATCTACCAATAACCTTAGTTTTCAGTCCTCTCGGAATTATAAGAATATTGAAGCACATTCAAGTACACAAGAATCCTTACAACAGAAACACTCCCAATATGGACTTGAGAGATAAGCCAAAGAAAGTGCCAATAACACCACTTTTAAACTTAAATATCCCATTATAACATTATAGGCGTTATGCTCTAGAAAATGTGATTAACAGGTCATTATTCATCAAATTTACGCACGTAAATAAGTATCAAAAGAATTGAAAATATGTTAACATGAAAACACACAACCTTGGGTATAATAATAAAGTGGTCTGTTTTGACGTTAAAATCTTTCGTAAGGGATTGCTTTAAATATATTTGAGCAGTTCTATATATAAACTTAAAGTTATGATGTAAACTAAGCCTTTGATAAAATTACTTGCACTGACAATGCGAAAACCCGGCGAAAAAAGTCCGAGCATCCCAGATCAAATTCAAGTTGCCGACCATTTACTCAAAATTAAATATCAAATAAACCCATTTTCAACATGAATATGCACTATATCACTATTCTTTATCGTTCTTTCTATCAAAACCACATTAAAAATCCTTACTCTTTGGCAGCGAGAGGGAAATGCGTGATTCCTTCCTGTGAGGGCGAGGTGTGTGGAGTGAGCGTGGAGGAGGTTCGACGACGCTGCCACCTGTCGGGTCACTGCCAC